AATAACTATATATTACCCTAAATTGCTGGATAATTAAATTGTCTTGCTTTGCGTCTTCACTTGCTTAATAAATTAATTAGTGTTGATTTAATACTCAACGGGTCAAACATTGTTTTTATTTGAAATTAAGAAATAAATATGTGACCGATAAAAAAAGAATTATATATATATAGATAATATAATAATTATTTTACAAGCTAGCCCTAATATACAAGTGAAAAATATATGATAACCCTATTGATTTTTAGACTTAAACGAACAAAGTCGTCTGAAAATAATTCATTTAATATCTATGTCCCATGCATTGCACGGGGTACGTACTAGTTAGTTGTTAATGAGTATATTAAAATAATATATAAAATAAAATAAGGAGAGTTGATTTGATGTAACAGTATGAGACATATGATTTGAAGTGATGATAAGTTAAAATTATGTGAGTTGATATATATAGTGAACTAAAATTGATGTAGTGTGTAGAAATGTGTTGTAGCAAAGTATATTTTTATCGAGTACAGGATGACTCCTGACCTCGGGTCGATCTCTCGAGGAAAGTTGTTCATAATATAAAATTGGTGTTGTTCGCACATAAAAGAAAATTTAGACCTAAACACTCTAATCACGGGAAAAGGAGGTTTTAACTATTAAGTAGGAAATAACAGAAAATGCATAAAACATAAATTAACTCAAATACATGAAACAAGCAATGATAAAGAAGCTAGATAATCAGGGATGTTTGTTTCGGTTCTGTTGATATGACTCATATATTGACAAAGGAAGGAGGCAAGCTGATGTCTGCGAGCGTAACGGAGCGGAGCGACCGAGTGAAGTGAGCGGAGTGGAGCGAGCAGGCATCAACCCTTATTGGGTCGGGGGTGCGGGGGCAGAGCCCCCGCGGTACGGTACGGGGTATTTAAGTAAATTAATACCTTGTAGGGTTATAGTATAAATACATGGTGTATTGATGTATTTGAGACTATTGAGAATTATAAATATCCCTCAGCCGCCGTGGACGTAGGCACATTGCCGAACCACGTAAATCTTGTCTTTATTCAACAGGTTCGAAATGCAATTAACGAGCGAGTGTTCATTCGGTTAAAGGATTCGAATAACCTAGTCGTTCAGAGATTCACACTTAATAAATTTTTGTAACAAGAGAGTAAACATGAACGGTAAATCAACGAGTCGTTTAACACATAGACAATACAACTACGAACAAACTTATTTTATACGAGCCTAGATCGATCAATTCTTCCTCTTTTGGTTCAAATAGTCGATTAAATTAGATTAGAAGTTGGTTCGCCGACTAATCTTTTAGAATTGAAAACATTACACAAGAGCCAGTGTTCTAAAAGTCGCTAGGCTCCCACAAGGCGCTCGACAAGCGCCTAGCGCCTAGGCGGGGCCTAGGCGGCGGCTAGTCGAGACCTAGAAATCAATATTAAATACCTTAGTTTTTATTTATTTTAACTGCCTACTAAATAAAACTATATCAACTTATAATAAATCAACACATAAGTCGAAATAATAAATTTTAAAGAAAATATGAGAGCAAAATAATGTAATTAGTATTTAAAAAAATAAAAAAAAAAAACTA